ACGCGAACTAAACTTATTTAATTTTACAAGTTATCCGCCTGAGTGTCTCAAGTGAGCTTTAAAAGAAAAGAATTTATTCGCGATTATAACATTTCTTAATTTCTTGTATTTTACAAGTTCGCTTAGAATTAAACCGTCATAATTTTTAACAAAGTCCTCGCTAAATTCCCTGTTCAAAGACAAAACACAGAGTCACTTATAAATGGTTGAGTGCCCAACTAACAACTTAAATGGTAACGCCATTCAACTGTGTTATCTGTGTTATCTAACGGACCAAATTATCTAAGAAAATTAGCAAAATCCGTCGGCAAAATTATCTAACGGACCAAATTATCTAAGAAAATTAGCAAAAGCCGTCGGCAAAACAACATTATCTAACGGACCAAATTATCTAACGGACCAAATTATCTAAGAAAATTAGCAAAAACCGTCGGCAAAACACACGCAACTTAAAAAATCGCAGGCAGCAGTTAGTCTCGTGTTAGTCATTTTAAGAACACATCATTTTCTTAACAAATAAAATGTAAGTACAAACAATATATGTAACATATACTATATATAGTAAACTATTTATATCACAGAATTAAAAGTAATATTAGTATTTTGTATCGCTTCTTATGCTTTGAAGCACTTTCTCACAAACGTACAAAAACCTAGAAGAAAATGATTCTTCTAAAGTTTGAAAAAATCACACATTGTAACGTATACGATCTTAACCAATTGGCAATGTATGAAATAATTCTAAAGCCTTTCAGTGTGCAGCATTGCCATAGCTGAACTAAAACGCTTTTATTATATTTGACATTTGTAAATAACAGAGGAAGCGAGAGAGGGAGAGTAATAAACATTCTTACTCTCAATGCAACATCCTTAAGATAATAAATGTTTAATGAGAGAAAGAAACACACAGAGGAGATAGAGATAGACAACGAACAGCAAAGCATACACAAACAATCAAATAAAGACATTTGCACAAAAATCCAATCAAACGTCACGCACTGAATAAACAAAAAGCAATAACATAACTTAAACTCCTTAGTTTATTTGTTCAAAGATCTTAACCATTAACCCACCAATATGTGATATATTTTATAAGAAAATTTGCAAATTTATTTTTTTTTTTAATTTCATTAATAAAATAAATAAATAAATATGCATCCATTCATATATCTGAGTTTTTAGTAAGAAATTCCATACAGCAGGATGAAACACGTGCCATAGAAACATAAACAAATTAAAAGTTTGCGGGAAGAATTTTTCAGAGTTTTCGCTTATTTTCATCGAAGTTCCTCCAGCTTTTGTTTACGTTCATAGAATAAGTGGCAGCTTTTGCTTATTTTCATCGAAACTCTTGTAGCTTTTATTTAAATACGCATCGTTTTTTGCGTCTGCAAATGGATGAAAAGAAGTTGAATGATTTTATTGAAGCTCCTTTTTAAGAAATAACTTTTTGCCTAAAAGCTTGAGAAGCGGTATCGCGTAACTCAACAATGAGTGTTTTTTAACAAGCAAACTTGCATTTGAATTTATATTTGAAAAATATTTTTTTTATTTTACATACATAAAAATTGTTATTATTAACCAGTATTGACAATTTATAAGTTAATCTTGTATTATAAGATAAATTAAATAAATTCAGAAGTAAGCCAATCGAGAATCCCGATACTGCATAACAGTTCAAATGGTTCTCGTCTAAATCGAGAGTTTTAGCCAATCTATGCTGGTGCTTGATTAAAAGAATGACATGTTTTTCTGTTTACTTTTTTTTTTTTGGATGTTGAGTGGGAATGGATTAAGACAGTAAGAAGTATGGCTTATATGTTCAAATTGAGAGAGCCTCGGGCATAGTATGCATGCAATATTGCATGAGAAAGGTTTGAGTTCGTTGAACGCCACATGACCTGACCTAATTTCAAATCTTACGAAATACAACGGTGGTGCTTGAAGAGAAGCATATAAGGTTGTAATGGTGGCGATTCAAGCAAATCAGGGTACGAACGCACGGACCCAAAAGTAAGCAACAGCAGATTGTGTAAACTGCGACAAAGATTGCTTTTGCTTGAAGCATTTCCAAATATAATGGTCGCGTTTTTTTTTTTTGGAAAATCTGGCAACAACGCCTTTACAGAAATGTAAAACTTCAAATTCTGAACGATACAAAACCATTTGTTTGATAGGTCTTTGGTGAAAAACAAACACGCGCCATTGAACCCTTCATCAAGAGAATGCAAGCGAATTCACATACTTCTTCTAAGTAAACTAAGACTAAGTGAACACTGAAAAAACCGATTCAATCAATTCATCCGCCCTGTAGGTCTGATTTTGCACTCAATGCTATCTTTCTTTTCCGGAACGGCCGGAACAAATTGTTTTTGTTTGCATGTTTTGGAGGCGTTTCAAACACAATTGGAAAAACGTTATGACAATTCGGTTGAACGTATGCGAGAATATTTGGAAGAACAGTAAAGCATTTTTTAATCAAAAATTACTATTCATCCATTATTAGGCTTAAAAGCTAATTACTGTCAGGCGTGCCTGAACTTTATGAAACAACATGATAAAACACCAATCAAATCCAATGATCTTTTCTTTAATATTCAAAGTGATTCATTTCCATTGATTCGTCGATGGGTTATAAAACCAATAACGTATCGTAAATAATGCAGTTTGTAATTTCTTTATGTTGTGTGCCGTCGTAATCAGAAATAAATGTTTCGATACTAGAAGCTGTTAAGCGTTTTGCTGAGTTGCTTATGAAAAACATACTTTAATGACATCAATTGAATCATCTAAAGGATATCAGCCAATGGTACTCCAAAGCCGAAAGTCTGCTTGATACTGTGCCAATAGTATCTGTACCAATTTTTTTTCATCGTTTCATATTCAGCCGCAGGAATGCCACTTTGCTCTAATTTCAATTGAGTACAATTTTGCTAAAACGAGAATGTTTAAGAAAAGCATCAAACAAATATAAAATGAACAATTTTTCATAAAAGTTTTTTATATTGATTCTCATTTCATCAATTCGAGAGATAGGTGTGTCAGAAGGGTTATACACATCTGTGATCGACATGAAAAAATTGCATTCGAAAATTGGTCCCTAAAAAGAAATCTAAAGACAATTTTTAAGCGGAATCCACTTTACGACATAACCGAAACTATTGAACGCCGGTCAAATACAAGTAAAATGAAATCGTACGATCTTAATCAGTTTTCCTTGCGAATAATGCATAAAGAATGCATAAAAAGGATGCTTGATAATGTATGGTAACTCACATTCATAAATTGCCATTGTGCCATATTCTCAGAACAATTCGGAAATATTTGGCGAGGTAATGATTAAGTGAAACTAAAAACACTGGTGTGCAGAGATGCTCTTATGTGTGTAAACATATAATATAATGGTATGGAGCATTTATGTATCTATATGCAAATTATAAGAGTTCAGATATTTATTTAAGCCTTTTGGTAAAAACCACAACGAAGCTGTGCTTAGATTGGCTTTAGTATCTTGATACATCTCGCTTTTTTGCCCTAAACCCACCATCAATTCCAAGATATTCCCATGTAGACAGTGCAGTTAACAGCTAACAGTATATATGTAAATCTTTAATGAACATTTGACAAAACCCCTATTTTGCTCGTAGAATGGTTTGACGTCATATTTCCGCTCCTTTCAGAGTGGTGTTTGTTTACTATAAGATCTATTCCTAAATTTTTGTTTCAACGTCAGCAAATAAACGTACTTACCAGTTCTTCTAATTCAATTAAAACATTGGAGTAATGGCCTGATGGCCAGGATTTTAAACGCCAGCTAAGTAAAAGTTTCTTTTCAGGAACTAATTCCTCAAATTTTCCCTGCACGTTGTCACCATATAATTGAAACCTGAAACAGATGACGTCAACATTATTAACACTTTTATTTTCATTGTGAACTTTACATACTCTCCCCCTTTAAATGCTTCAACTTTAGCTGGCGCTTTTGTAAAGGCAATTATCATGTCTGCTTTCGTTAGGGCATTGTATAAGTCATTAGCGTTACATTGAAACTCCACTACCATTTTCAGCGTGCGAACTTCTAATTTACATCCCACGGGACCATTCCCGTTTGACGTGACTTTCGTTTTGTTCGCACTTGCAGTGTGATAGCCAAAATTTACTTTAGTCTCTCTCGTCTCGTCCTTCGATACAGAAGTTTCACCCTTTTTAGGAAGAATAAGATTTTTTGAATATTCTTCCTTTAGTTCCTTTATATAAACACCCAGCTGTTGGCGTATTTGATCCCTTCCAACATTATACATAAATTGTTTCAATATTTCTGATTCCTCGTTGGACTTTTCGATGGTAATTGTGATTTCAACTTCATCAAGATCATTTTCTTCCGACAAATTCGGTATCGTGATCTTTCCTTCATGAGGTGTATTGCTTGCATTTAGAATACAGCCTTGCCATTTTAGCACCAGCTCCCATTCGTAAAAAAATATGAGTTTTCCTTTCCGATTGTTCACTGTGGCTTCCCCGCTACATTTTTCAACACTTTCAATAGTGCACTCAAGCTCATTTTTTACTATTTATGAATAAATACACATATATGATGACTTTTAGATTTAACAATGGCAACCAATTCAAGTAATTGCACAGTCGTTTACCTATTTTAAAATCTTTATAAAGTTGCTGAAATCTTTCTTTAGACCAATGAGTCGCATTTTTTTCCGTCCAATGCCAATTATTAACATTTGTAGCATCTGGCCGTTCTTCAACAATCCATCTTGGATCACCTTCTCCCCATTTAGCCATGCTTTATTAATTTACTAAACCTCAAGGACTGGTTTTTTATTAATTTACGAAAATTCAAAATATATAATGGAAACTTTATGAAGTAAACTATCTAATGACAATTCTTAGATCGCACGTTACTTATTCCAATGTGAAATGTAGCAGTGTGCAGTAATTCCAAGTGAATTTTCGAGAATACGGAAGTTTGGTGTCGTATAATTAATTAACAACGCCGTTGGTCTTAGAATATCCCAACTCTGCTTTTATTTATATAACAAACTCATCAATATGACATTTGTGCAGACTTGCCAGATGGAATCAAGGTAATCATGTTTAGATTTAGAAGTGTTGCTTGTAGGCAACCTGTTTGTATTATATTCAAATTGATAGAAAAATATTATATTAAATCTTTTTAAATCTTGGCGATTTTTGTAGAAAATAAATATATATAAATTTTTATAATTAGGCATTTCCGCCAATTCACTTACTTACTCAAGATATTTTATTACGATTTTTATATATATTCTCTAATTTAAGACTTTTCAATGGTATTGCCCACTTTTTCCAAAGACTTACTTGTCGAGGAAGTAAAAAATTACTACGAAAAGATAAATAGCGGTCAAATGAGAAGGTTTAGGAAAAAAGGCATTGTGTACTTCCTCATTTGCCACAAAGTGAAAAAAGAAGGACAATACGAAATCAGTTTCCACCAACAACAAAAAAGACAATACTATCCTTGACATATGTAATTTTCATAAATTGTTGAAATAACTAAAACAAAGAATAGAAAAGCACAGCAATCCGGACTAAAAACGGACAGTTTCGTAATTTCTAGTTTTAATATGAATTAAATATCAAGAGTTTTGGTTTTTTACATAAGAGTTTGAAGTATGGATTATTGTGATTTATTATTTTGGCGCAATCATTGAATTATGGAAGCTTGACAAATTTGCAAATATTAGTATGGATTGTGGAAACTCTACAATAATTGATATTTTATGTTATCATTTAACTGCGACTAGTAAACAGCAGTTGAATGGATGTCGTTTATTTTCATCGATTACAGTCAAACGAATTTTTATAATTTGTAGAAGCTTCATTGCGTTTAGTTTTGCGTCGAAAGTTATATCATCCAATTAAATAAGAATGGCTAAACGAAGAAAACAAGCTATGGTGGATTTAAATTCTAGCGGCAGTGAATCTGAGTCCAATATTGAATCGGTATATACTAGTAGCACAACTTAATGCGACATCATTTATGTCACTGTTTTTACTGTCAATTTTCTTTTTGTCTATACGCCAATTAAAATTTTTTTTCGCGTGTATAGGATCTTTTGTCTTTAGCAAAGAAGCGAAAAAAGAGTAATACCAATAAAGTTTCTGCCCTATCTGGTTCGTCAGACACGGAATCTGACTGGGACAGCAAATCAAATACTGGTAAAACAGAAACTGAACCTCCGAATAATGAACTCGTCAAACATGATACGGAACAGGAGGAAGGTGAAGTATCAGACTCTGAAGACGATGTTGGTAAATCTAAAAGTCCAAACATGTCCGACAGTGAGGCAAATAATAGAAGTTCGAGTCAATCAAGCTCCTCATCAGAATCTAGTTCAGACTCTGAGTTCGACGATGGCTACGATGAAAACTTAATGGGCGATGAAGAAGACCGGAAACGACTATCAGGTTTATCCGAAAAAGAACGGGAAACTGAAATCTTTAAACGAATTGAGCAACGTGATATAATGCGTACGCGTTGGGAAATTGAAAGGAAGCTGAAGATGGCACGCCGCACGGAGAAAGCGAAGAAACCTAAGAAGAAGGCAAAGAAAAGCAAAAAACCGTCGAAAAAAGAGGCTAATAAGGAATCAAAAATTAGTCACACAAAAGAACCAATAGCGACTATACAGACAAATGAAATAATTCCTCAGAAAAGTCCAAGTCCTTTAATAACTGAAGAAGTGCAGGATCATCATATCCCAAGCGTAGAAAATGAAGAAATTGAAAAACCGGAGAGCGTTGATGATGCCCGCAATGCGGCTCTGGATTATTATGATCATAAGGAACGTTCTAAAGAAAGAAAGAAAAATGTCGAAATGAATCGTACAGACGATAAAAGAAGTAATGCGATGGCGCTTTTAAAAGCCAAACGGGAAGGAAAGGCTAAACGAGGTAATCTTCTAATACTTATTTACTAGTATCTCTTTTCATTGTTTGTTTTATTTCAAATTTATGTTTGTTGGAGTTTGACAAAAATATGTTTTTTTTTTCAGAGGAAGAAGAAGCTAAACGACTTGCACAGAAAGAACGTAAAGAAGAAAAGGAAGAATTAGAAAGCGTTAGTGGTGGGAAATCTTCAGTGAAATTAAAAGCCTCAGAAATATATTCTGACGATTCAGGTAGTAGCGATTGGGAAGACGATAAGCCTGACAAGGTATCCCGTTCGAATAGTAGCAAATATTCTAGTGAATCGGAAGACGAAGAAAGAGAAGAGAAACATATTAGTTTAAGCACACGTGATGAATTAAACAAAATTCGCTTGTCACGGTTCAAGATGGAACGTTTCATAAATTTGCCGATCTTTGAGCGCACAGTAATGAACTGTTTTGTTCGCATCAGTATCGGAAACAATGGACAAAAGCCTGTGTACAGAGTGGCCGAAGTAGTTGGTGTAGTTGAAACGGCGAAGATATACAATTTAGGTAAGTCTCGTACGAATAAAGGACTACGGCTTAAACATGGAACACAGGAAAGGGTTTTCAGGCTTGAATTTATTTCGAATCAAGAATTTACTGAAAGCGAATTCATCAAATGGAAAGATATATGTGCTCAACAAAATGTTCCAATGCCGAGTATGGCTGTTGTTGAACGAAAGTTGAAGGACATTAAAGATGCAATGAATTACGAATATAAAGATGAAGATGTTGATAAAATAATTGAGGAAAAGAACAGATTTAGAAATCGACCAACCAATTATGCCATGAAGAAAACCTGCCTGATGAAAGAACGGGACGCAGCCATGCTGCGGGGAGATTATGAAATCGCTCGTGAATTAAGTCAAAAAATAGAAGAATTAGAAAGTCGTGCCTCAGAATTAGATAAGCGAAGATCAAGTAGTATAAGTTTAATATCGTACATTAATGATCGAAACCGTAAGCGTAATGTGGAAGATGCCGAAAAGGCAATAATGGAAGAAGCACGTGCTAACAAAGGCCTTCGAATATCTGATCCATTCACTCGGCGCATCACACAACCTCGTATGGGTTTCAAGCAGTCAGAGAAAAAGGAAGATGAAATACCAATCAAAGAACCGATCATATTTACTGAGCCACCGAAAAAGCAATCCGAACTAATAGAAACTTCCAAAGGCAACGATAAAAAGAATTACAATCTTTATACATTACACGATTTCGATATTGATTTGGATGTCAGTGTACCAGGTATGAAGAGTTGCTTAGTTTATTGACCGATCCAACTTTTGTTTTTTTTTTTTTTTAAATATCGGCACTAATGGAATAGTAATTTTGATATTGGCTCTGGATAAACCGGAAATATATGGTCGAAACTAGCTTGACTTACATGAATTTTCAATATCTTATGAATTTAAATAAAAAGCGGAGAATGGTGGGTCTGTTAGCAGTTAGTCGAGCTTTCCAAGCTTTGGTTATTGAAGTAAATGCATGTTCACAATAGTATTATTATGCGGAATTTTATATATGTGCTTGGCCTATTTGGTGGCAGTAGAGTCGATCGGGATATAGTCACAGTTTCGCTATGACATTATCATACTTAATACATTTACCTTCCATAAACACATATCATAAGAGTGGAAATATAAATAAAATGTATACTAATAACAAGTCGTTGAGGCAAATACACAAGTGGACCATGCAGTGAAAAGCATTCTTGAGTTTTACGTCTAAGTTTTAAAGTTACAATAGTTCATATAGGTTTATGTACACATATATAGTCTGTATAAAAAGTTACCAAATACGCAACATTCTTCAAGCGAAATCCAATTCCCATCTGTAGCAATTGTAACGCAATTTTTCATTCCTTTTCATATAAAGTTTTCATAGGAAATTTACCATGGAAAACTTTATTAGAGTGGGAGATATGGCAAAATTCATAAGCCAAACGCGCCACTCTCGTCACAAAAGATCGCAGAAAACTAAATTTACAACGCGTGAAAGGAGGGAGACATTATGAAACTACTACTGTAAATGTCCTGAACTAGAGTAAGACTGCGGCTTAATTTAGTTAGACCTGTTTGTTTTTCGTCCCACTATCCCTCCCCCCACAATTGAACTGAAAACCTGAGAGACTGTAGATATATCCTTGAATAGCGAGCGGTAGTTCCTGTATCACGCCGTCTTAAATGCCTGTAATTTTTTACTAAAATCTTAGATGCTTCTGGCCTTATAAAAGGTTTGAATTGAATAAATCGTTTCCACAGCATCTTCTGTGCTAGAATATATGCCAGCTATTTTACGCGATGTAGCATAATCTGCCACCACCTCGTTGCACTCATCTAGAAGTACGAGAAACAAATCGACACGCGACATTATGGGAGATGAAAGTTTTATGCTTTGTTGTGAGCTGTTGGACCGATTATATGATTCCTTACGTTTCAGTTTTCTTCATTTACAAACTAGTTTTACCACAAATTGGCAAAAAAATATTTGTTATCGCTAAGGTGCTCGGGGTAGGAGAAATAATTTTATATGCCCAATTTTAATTGACCTGCACCGATGAATGAAAATGCAAAGAGCAGGAAAACCTTCAGGCGAATGCTGAATAGTAACATGGACCTTCAGAGATAGGTGGGAAGCAAAATCTCTCGCGCTACTTAATAAATGAACAGACAGGATAAAGCTTTGCAAGTACTCGTCTGGAGACCACAATTGGGAACTTGGAAATGAATGATTAAAAAGTTGGATTCTCCTAGGACGCTATTGTGAACACGCTTTCATAGTAAAACTTAAACTTTGCGACTGTACACGTTCTTTTCCATTTTTCTACCATAAGCCTAATCTAATCGAAATGGTGAAGGGACTTTCCGAATATCGTCCGAATAACAAACACCGAAATTTAAATTTTTCACTTAAAAAATTGGGCTTAATAGTCCTAGCAATTAAATTGCGATTGCCTTTTAATCTAAAAAATGTTTTTACTAATTTAAATGTGTGGTAATTGGTATAAATTTCTATTAAAATTTTTTTCATTGTTTTTTTGCAGTGAATACTGTCAACACTTTGCCAAAACCAGTACCTAAATTATCGGAGCCCACAACAAAAAGGTCTCTAAATTTGGAAGATTATAAAAAGAAACGCGGATTAATCTAAATTAATAATTGTAAAAATGCGATTCATACTTTATTAATAAAAGTTATTAGTTTACAAGTGTACTCATAATAGTAAGAAGGACTTCGAATTGAAAGCCTTTCCGCTGGGATTAATTTAGTTAAGAATAAAGAAATATGTTTTCTCATTTAAGGAAAATCATCTTGTAAACACCTTTTATATTTGTAAACATATCATGAATCTATGAACGTTTATTTGAATCCTAAACATTTACGAGTACTTTGACGAGCGTTCAGTTCCTATTAATTTTAAAATAATGTTTTCATGCACATATATAAAAAATACGCTCAGATTTTTGTACACCAGGGTTTTAGGTAAACTGGCTTTTTAAACAGCTAAGGCAACTGGATACATACATATATGCACGTGTACGCATTTTTTTTTTAATAGCTACGGATGCGGCTGCGGGAAGTTTATATAGGGTTAATGTTCACCTGGTTACGACCAACATCATCATTTATCTGGGACTCCCAATGTGCGATACTCAAAGATCATCATCAACGGTCTTCTAAATCCAAGTAAACGTCCATGGTACCGTAGACACCACGCGGACCGCAGGAGCCTACATCATATTTGCGTAAACTCTTGCAAGCATCTTCCAGAATCTCTTCATCTTCCAGTAAACTCAAATAGTTATGTGAAGCCAAGTTTAAACAATCATAACCGTTCACCACTACCCGTTTACTTTCTGGTCGTATAGTATACTTTTCTGGTCGTATAGTATACTTTCTGCTCGTATAGTATACTTTTCTGGTCGTGGGAAGGCTGTAAAGAGCGGAATTTGACTTCAAATTTGAAATCTCTATTTCGAAACTTCCCAAAGTGGTTGTGCGCGATCCGAGATATATTATGTGCAATCCGAAAATTGCGACATTTGAAAAAGAGGACTAAACTCTTTGGCTGATTCCTCTCGATAAAGTGATGCAAAGTTCTGAAAATCTTTTTTTTTTTTTATATACTGTTATTATATTATTGAAATGTTCTGTTATTTCGTTCTTCTATAAATTCTTTTATTCTTCTGTTCCTTTATTTTGTTGTTTCATCTTCTTAGTTTACGTAAAATAGCAAGCAGAGACATCGAAGTTTAATCTAAGTTTACGGTTTAATTCCAAGGAAAAACAAATTCTCTAAGAACATATTTTTCGCAACGCCAAACTTAGCTTAACTATCCTGCGTTAATGAATGTTTAAAAGTGTAGTCACAAATAAATAACTATAGTTGACAATCCCTAACAAAAAAATGATCTAAAATCTCGACTACTATTTAAAAAGATGATTAAAAATATCAGTGCAAGAATAAACGTGATTGGCTCTAAACCCCATTCGCAGGTGGCAAATTGTACTTTTCATGCAATTGTCTGCATAAATTTAACGAAATCAGTGCCATGGGAATTATTAGAATACTCTATAATTCGAGACTTCAGCTACGATGTTTAATTTCAAATTCTTGTTGCGTTGAATATACTTCCATCGCCTAATTTTTTCCGATGATGTTCTCTTCTCAACTGGGTATTTTCATATCCCCATTTAAAATTTATTATATCTTGCAGGGGTAATCAAATCCCTATTAAATTGCAAAAAATGAAAACTGATCGACTTAGCAACCGTGGTTGTAGAAGAGTTTGTTGCAGTAAAATAAAATTCGTGAAATTTCTGACTTGATTCAAAATAAAAACTTTTTTGGTTTTTTTGCTCATATAAAATAAAGATAATATGGTAAATAAATGTTTGTATAGACGGAAATTATTTTAATGTTTTTTTAAATTCAAATACTTAAAATATACGATGCAGTTGTAAATTTTTCAAGCATTGTTCGCATTTCTGTTACGACGCAGCCAGCAGCTTTCATTATTAATATGCCCTCCAAATTTATTTTAGGGATCAAACGAAAGAAATCGATCACCAAAATCAGAAGACGCCGGTTCCCATGATTCCGTTTCTCCGCCGAAGAAAATGCGATCGGAAAGCGGAGGTAAATATATAAGTATGTAACAAGTTTTTTTACAATTTTTTTATATACGTATATATCTACATATATATAAAGTGTATTTGAATGCATACGCAAACACATGCCTGTGTTCATGTGTACATATATACATAATTTTGTGTCTATAACTGCTTTTCCCTGTAATGAGGTTTACTACATTCGCATTGCATTACTTTGTAGTATAAATACGTATGTATGGTTATTTGTATTGCTTTAAAATGTTTTGATGCTCTTTGGCATTTTTAATATCTAAACTGCACGAAAATAAATATATTTTCAGGAGAAATATAGATCGTAAGTAAATTTGACGTCAGAGATTTTTAGATATATCGTTGCATATAGATTTTCCAAAATTGTTCTTGTTACTACTTACTCATCATTTAAAAGCCTCTTGCTAGAGAATGTTCTGAGTTTTAATGATAAGCTTATTAAGTGCGTAGATAAATTTTGTCATTAGAATCAATTAAGAGTACGTGATTAACTTCTTAATACGCCTCAATTTGAAGTAAGCAGGAAATTATGTTTAATACAGGTAGCATTTTTTTATGCTTGATGAAATGAGGTAAAGTCCGCAATAGTTATTTCATGTGTACTTAACTGTAACATAAAGCGGAATTCGTATATTTTTCGAAAACTTGTAATTAGGGAACTGAAAATGAAATGGCTTTCCGAAATTCTTGTGACGGCTGAAAATCACGGTTCAATCCGCTCTCGTTCACTACTTGTAGCAGTCATGGACCGATTTATCATGGTGGGAGAAGAAGTAAATTGCGAGGCTTTAAATTCGTAAACGCACTCGGAACGCATATGGGCACGTTGCTTACTTTTGCAGCATTGGAAAAAGAAACTTGCCATTGAGTTGTCATAAATTCACCAAAACGGACAATCTCCTTAGCATCTATTTCCAGAAGGTTGAAGAAGAAGGATAACGGCGATTCTCCGAAATGGGCAATTGAATTCTGAATGATTTTGTCGCTCAAATATGCTCAACTGTAACTCTGAATCTGAATGATTTTTCTTCCACTGTATTAAAAAAAACACACACAAACCAAGACCATCATTTGCAGCCAGTTTTCGCATTTACAAATACCAGGAAATATAGGTTCCCTATAGTCTGCTCTCAAAATCAAAGACGAAATGAATATTGCAATTCGAAAAGGCAATTACCCTCAACGGAGAGTGAAAGTGACAGTCAGTAGCTCGTAGCCTTTTCTTTTTTATAGGTGATTATTTATTATGTATGCTGTGATTTCAAAACTCCTACGTACGTTTTAAGGTAACGCAATTATCTTACGATGCTCTTAAAAACTATATTTTTCACGACTAGTGGAGAGAGACTGTCAACTTGAAAAAAAAAAGTTCGGTACTCAAGTATACGTTGTCACTAAAAAAAAAAAATCATTTTTAAGAGATATTAGACAGTCGAGAGGTCGTGTGCAAACGGCCGTCTTTTTTAAGCTTTTTTTATCAGTGAGCCCTTTGGCGAAAATCGCCTCATTTTTTGATTTCACATAAACGAAACTAAAATACATTGGAAAGTTGAACATCATTTCATTATACCAACGCCCCAGTGGCATAATGCCAGAACTGTCGAGTTATGTTCGCATAATTATTCACGTTTTGTTCATAATGCAAAGTAAATCATACCCACTAGCTCAAGCGAATATGTAAAAATTTTGAAGCATTTTATTAGTTAACTTGATGCCACTTATATCACTGGAAACTTTAAGGTGACCTTGATGCTTAAACCAATATCTGAAGTGGTGTTTAAGTAAAGCAGTTTTGTTGTTTTATCCAAACTACGTCTATTTTCACCTTCGATCTGTGGCCGTTAATTTTCCATCCCCACTTTCATTATGATGGTGAAGCGCGGCAGGTCAGACATACCCACCCCCAAATCATGCACCGCTTACAGCGTTTTTGCTAAATATCTCCGTGCGGTGATGGTGTATTATGCCAATATAACGCTTTGTTGTTACCTATAAAAGTATTGCAGCGAATCCAGTATATAAAAATTATCAGTGCCATCACTCAAGTAGCGGTATGAAGCGATATTGCTCTCAACTGTGATTTAATTAATTATAAGCTTGATTTTCAATTAACTCATTATGATATCCTTTTCCATGGAATTATATTGTCGTCCCTTAAGTCTTCATCAATAGTTTTTATTCATGGGAATTGCTTTATTATTTCTTTTCAACTCTCTTCAATTATAATTTTGATATCTCAATATGTTTATTAAGGACTTTTTCATAAGAAAAATTACTGCAGAATGAAATACAAAACTAAATTCTTATAACATTAAAAAAAAAAAAAAACATTTAAATAAAATTAAAATTTTTGGATGATTACTGGATGGTTGGGTATGGGCCTATATCGCCTGAAATGAGTCAAAAAAAAAAAAAAAAAAATATGAAATATTTTCAAAAGATTTATCTAAGATCTAACTTAAGTTAAAGGCACAAAAGTTAAGAAATGCCAGGGAACTCTTGCAGCACTTATAAAACAATTTTCCCACACAAAACCTTGAAGGCATCAAATATATAAGGTTAGTTTACAAATTATAAAATTTTTATGCATATTTTCTTGATTTTTCGAGTAAATGTTTCAAACTTGATATATACAAGTCAATTTTTAGAATACACACTTTTACCTTTCTAATTTTAGCCTGTTCTTTTTTTATAAACAAATTCTAACAGTGCTGTATTCACCGCATGCATGCTTTTATTCTTGTGCCAAGAAGCACTTATCTCTGACAAAAGGCATTTAAAATATTACTTCAAGAAGGAACAAATGGAAACGCTCTGGAGAGACGCGGCCCACCATTAAATACCATACGCCAGTTCGTTGAGTACAGTTATTCAAATAATAACTCTTCAAAATAAGGCCTTATATTGGAAGTAATTGAAGTAATGGTCCGATACGAACCTTGGGCCAACACAAGTCCGTGTATCATATTTTTTTTAAAAATATTTTAAGAATTGAGACCTGTAGGCTGTAGCAAGACGGACAGATTAGATTAAATCGATGCAAAAAGTGATTCTGAATGGATCGGTTTAATAAAAGGTGGATCTATCTCCTTTTGGTTGTTGTATACATCCACAAGTGGTGCAGGGTATAAAATATAGATAATATATTTTAAATTTCAATATCGAATTTCGCTACTAATTCCAAGCTCTTCCACATAACTTCTTCGATTTAAATGGATCAGTAATATTGAGAGGAATAAGCAAACCATGTCAACTAAGTATATTGACATTCTAATGCTTATGTAAACAGAACTTCTCCCTCAATTAGATCTTGCCACAAAGAAATTTTTCTGCATAGATTTGATGATTATTCAAAGTCAAACATATCTGCTACTTATTTTAAAACTAAATATCCTAAATTTTAGTTACACTTTCACTTTCCTTTATTTATGCCCCTCATCGATCAATATGCGCATATTAGATTTACTTGTCCTTTTATAAGATTCTGAAATACGTTTTAAAAACAAATCTTTGATAAGTGTATCGATTTTGTTTGACTTCATTTTTCATATTTGTTACGATATATCCATTACAAGTCCTCGATATTTTCAGTGTTATATTAAGCAAAGTGTGTTCATTATAGGCGTGAGTCGATCGGAGTATATTTTACACATGTCTTTTAAATGATATCGGAAATAATCGCGCGAGCTACACTTTTTGAATCGATCACGGACATATATGCAACTGGTAGACAAGACTGTTTGCATCACCGAGGTTTTAAATATTCTCAGTGAATATTATACCCATCGCCGAACGATGAGGAGTACATTCCTTTCGTCAGAACGTTTGCAGTAGCCAGAAGGAAGCTTCAGGAACTCTATATAGTCTACATATTATCGACTAATATCGAATGTAATTCGTTCTAGACATGTGTGTCAGTCCGTCTGCCTACTGATTGCTGCAAACTCGCTTCAGCTGGATCATATAAATTTTCGCTTTTATTTTACAAAAATAGAAAAAATCAGCCACGCCCCTCTAATATTATAGAATATGAAAAGTTAATCTTTTCCCTTTTCTGGTACTTTTTTTTTTTTTTTTAAATAACGTTGATGGATATAAAAGATTCGGTTGCAGCCGAATAAAATTTTTCGACTTGTTTTTACATAAATATCTGTGAGAGCTTGTATAAGTTATATTTTTTTGACAACTGTGATCGTTTCCATGGGCTAGCATCGCCTTAACTTAACATTCCAAGTCTAACCCACAACCAAAAAGGAACAGATTTATGGATGGGCAGCCAAATCAACAGATTTACACTGATCTCTAATGTTTTTTCTAGATATCCTAAACGGTCGGACGGACGGACTAATCGAGATAACCCATTCTTCGGTGGTTAAAGGTACAGGAGTACAGTCACAATCTATATATAGCAACCTATAGCAGAGATTGACATAAAATCTGAAACAAATCCTAGGGCCATTCAATATTGGAAGGCAAAAATCTCGAACAAGGCAACGGTTTTCTTATGTTTCAAAGGCTAGGCTAATTACAAAAACGAAGAGTAAGACTTGTATTTGTCTTGTAAACTATAGTTGGCATATCTTGTGGCCTTGAACTATTCTATTCGACATGACAGAACGTTTAGTGTATATCGTAAAGTTGAGTAACGCGATAGAAAACATTATTTTAGAAGCGACTGTCGTATGAAAATTTCGAAGAACTATGGAATAATACATCGCCAGTTGTTTCAATATGAATAGGATGGCTAGTGTGTAGTGCGATAGTTTACTTAATGAATATGGCTTGGATCTACAAAAAGCTTAATGCTAAACTTCACTAGTATCGCTTTGGATAAATTGTCGCGTTTTCAGAAGAATGTTATCCGATGTCTTTAAAATTATTGTTTAGTATGTATACATATATATATACATAATTTTTTTTTTTTTTTTGTTTGCTGAGTAGATATATACAATGGCATGATGTGCAAATATCAAGGGATAGTAGGGATAGGATTTTCATGAATCTGGTGGTGTGTTGTACTTGAACATAACTAATTATAACTGATTGAGGCTAAAAATTGATTTTTCTCTCTTCTTTATTTTCTTTTTCTTATTTCTTTTTGTATTTTTGTATTCTTTTGTATTTTGTTTTTTCTTTAACGAAAAAATAGAAGAATAAAACGACTACACCGAATAACCCGAAGTATACCCAACCATTTGCAAACATGGCAATAGCCAAACGGAGGTCCTGAATGATTGCTCAAGAATGTGTAAAGTAAAAACATTCCACATCAAATGGGCCTTGAAGTATAATCAATGCTAGTCCACTTCTATAAAAGTGAAAAGAACAGAGAAAACGTTGATTGATGTGTGTGTTAAATAATACTTTTATGTTTTTTTATTTATGTTTAATAATTTCTTGTCCTCTTTTGCTTTTTTAGGATTTATTCATTCTGTTTGTTTTTTTTTTTTTTTATTTTATTTTATTTTGTTTCAATTACAAACATTATAGCACATTGTAAAATTAAAAAACAAAAAAAAAAAAAGAAAAAAAACAAGAAAAGAAAAGAAAAAGACTCATTTCCGGCAGGGTTTTTTGCCCGAATCTAAATGGAAAAAAAAGCTGCTATTTAACACACACAGATCGAATCTAGGTAATGAATTAAGTTATCACTTCTTAGAAAACATTTTTATGTCTATATAAAAATTAATTTATGTACTCTTAACATAGTTCATGTTTATTTACTATCGTTACTCTTTCTCTTTTGATATCGTTTCAGCGGATCGCTTTTTTCTTTTTCTCTTTTTTTCTATTTCTATTGGTCGATAATTGCAATGGAAGTTTGAATGAAGGCTTTTCTACATAAAATTGTTTTAGTTCAATTCTTCCTATCTACTCACATATTAGAGAAAAATTGTTGTCAGACAAAACACGATATCGCGCATATATATCTATGTATATACACAGCTATTATATATGGGCGTACATTTGGGAAATGGGTAAAATATAAAATAATTAACTTATATTCCTTCCGTCCGAAACTATGATTTACATTTAGAAAATAAAAAGTATTGTTTTTTGTCCGAAATTATGATATGCATGGAAAATTTTTTATATATATATATATATTAAGAAATCATTATAAATGCCTAGTGGAACGTATTGTTTGTTGTCTGTGTTCTGTATTTTTAAAAATGATTATACTATTCGTTTTGAAATTGAGTTTAATCGGGTTGCTAGTCTAAGCTTGCAAGGGTGAACTTCGGCTCTCGAATGTGCTTCGATTATACAAACGGATGGGCACATGAATAAAATTTTCAAGATGTTTGACTTGACTTTCGGACAATGACTTGGTCTATATGGACGTACACGTTTTCTTGCTTTATATATAATTTTTACATTATATACTTTATATATACTTTTTACGTTTGAATTCATACGTTTTTGGCGAGCATAAATGTGACTTACGTTAAGCCAAAGCACAAATTATGTAGGTGACCCAAATTGCAAATGATTTCTAAATATCTCTGAAAATCTTTATGCTTTTTTTTTTTTTTTTTTTTTTTGTAGTGCAACACAATTTCGATTAAGAGCGATTTAGCGAGAGAACAGTGATCACCAGTTTGTCGGTAATGCGGACAACTTTATCAACCAATCGAATCAGACCTTCGGCTTCAGGACAATGATTTTTTTCCGTTAATTTAAAATTTGTAATAAAATGTAAATCATATTTTCGGACGGAGAAAATTCAAAATATCTCAAAAATGCGAACATTCCTGCATAAAATTGTATGAAAAGTACAATTTGTTTGGGAGTATCTTCCTACTTCTAATTAAATCTAAAATTTTTCCAAGTCTTCGGACAAAATTCAAAAGAACTACAAGCAAGTTTTACTCAAAGGCATTGTGGTTAACATTGACACATTTACTTTAATTTCTTGTCGTTGTGTAAGTTAATCTAGACGTTTGTTTTTACACCCACCATCTAACGTTAGGTTTTAGGTTAGGCAATTTGAGTCATTCTTTATTTAGTTGCATTATACGCAGAAATACGTGTCAAAGACTTTGTAAACTAAACGATATATGAACATATTCTTGATTAATTTTAATTGTTAATGTCCGTACGCTAACATTATCATAGATTCGTATTCGTAGGAAAGCATGACGATTGGACGCACGTGCCAATTTCATAAATGAGATCTAAAAATAAGCACCTATCCCATTAATCCAAGAATCTTGTAAATAATCATGTGATTTTTAAAATATTTATCTTTTGATGAATGCCCCAGTTTTGCCCGTAAATGCTGATGGCTTTCTTATAATATATTCCTTGAACGATCAATTGCGTTATTACTTTGAGTCCTTGCACTTACTTATTGGAGTCGCTTGTGTAATTTTCGCCTTAATATCAATGCATAAAAATGGAAGTGTCTTAGTGAGGCACTACAACCGAAATATGAAAATATATTAATAGTGTTCCTGAATTTATGCCACAAGGGTAATATGTAAACGATGTTTTATAAAGTGCATGCATTCTGCACAATTAGAGTGTGGTCTGCCTTTAAACGGTTGTCTAATTTTGGTTGTGGAATATTAACGACACAACTGTAGAGAGTATTTCTATATGTAGGCCTGAGCTACTCAAGGTATCCAACTTGCATGGGATGCAAAACTTTTTTGTCATCCATTAGATTAAAAGTCATGCATGAAATAATATACGAAGAACGGCAACTTCCTAATCGGAAAGTGTGAAAACCTTGATTTGCGGAAAGCCACTGTAGGTGGTGTGTGGTGGGTGTGAAACAAAAACATTTAAACATCGGATTGCGTATAACATATCTAACTAAAAATAATGTAACATGGTTACCATCTTTTGTGAGATATAAGACAATTAAGTAAAGACAATCAAGTAATTTGTAACGCTTCCAAAACATGGTCCCACATGTAGGGCAACCTACAAATTTTATTAGTTTAAAACTATGCATCGTATTGCAAACGTCTTTTGTGTACTCCCTTCGTCTCCGAACCCATCCATTTCTTCTATAAATAATAGGTTAAAATTTCTTCAAGCTTCTTGCAAAACTTTCCATTTAGAGGAGTCTATAATAGGTATACCGGAAAGTTCTGCCCACTTTTTGAATAAAACAAAATTCATGTTTCCGAAAATGGTCCGAAAGGGTTTACTAAGCTGATTTAAGATTGATCTAGCAAGGATTTTGCTCTAACAGGATATTCGACGATCATCTATTTGAAACCATTCGAACGAACCTCTGGCAGTTCGATCAGAGACTGTGTCTTCGTCGTACACTTTCAATAAATTTATACATGTTTCTATAGCATTTCCTGCTTGCTGGTTGCGTAGATGAACTTTATCAGCAGCTGCCATGGTTACGCTGCGTCTCACTTAACAAACACTAACATGAATCGTGAATTCGTGTTAGTTCATTTGCGAAGTCCGTATGTACTGACTCAGTGATAAAAAGATAGATCTAAATATACGAAAAACGGGTCGGCGTATACTTGTTGAAATTGATTGTAACCGGGACGGACGAAACTTTCCGATGAATTTAAAATCTAAGATCTATGTTTAAGTAACCTTTAGTGGTTTGCGGTTCCTAAGGATGATGAAAGTTCTAAAAAACGATATATTTTCTTAGACCATAGACCTGTATTGTGATTAAAAATCGGAATAGTTTTCATCCTTTCAAGCCTATCGGTGCAAAAATATTTTGTCTCTATAGAAAGCATTAAAATGCAACAGTTCAATAACCCCGAGAATATTTCTTAAAGAATAAGACATTCATCTACCCTTTACTGTCACGTAGGTATGCAGAGTGGCATTTGCAATAAGATCCTCAATCACATATTTAGGTGATACGCGCGAAACCTAACTTGTTAGTATTCATGTTTATAATTTGTAGCCTATAACTTTCATGTATTTCTTTGCTATGACTTCTTTCCTTCAACTCTTTTTAATCGTTCATTATTTGTTTTGTGACGTTTCATTTATTTATTATATATTATGCTTTTCTCTTATATATACATATATATATATATATATATATAATTTAGATTAAATGTTAAATTTCATGTGTATTTTTGTACAATTTTGAGTTAATTGTATTGGCAAACTTGCATTTGTATAAGTTGATTATTAAAATTTAAAATTAATGCATTAAAGTAATTGGTTAACTTGTGGTCGGTCGTAGCCGCCGCCCAAAGTTTTGAGCGTTATTTCAAGACCCATGTTGAATGTAAGAATGAGAAAAATCCGGGAGAGAGAGAGTGCAATGGATTTGATAAATTTTTTAAATAGAGAGAAAAGTTTGCTACGTATAATCTTGTTCAGGGACATGTCCATGTCTCTAGTTGTATGCTATGACTCCTATCTCAGAACTTATTTAGGAGAATACAAAATTTCCTCTTACGTTCGCCAAGTCGAGTGCGAAAATCCACAATGATTGCAATTACCAAAACCCTTCTTATGTTATGTCCTTAATAAAATTTCCGCAATTAATTCGAAAATCAACCAAGTCGCCATCACAGTGGTGCGTAAAGAAGGCGGGTTTTTCGCTTGCGTGCCTGCCTATACAATAATGTAGTGATATAAAAGCGTGGTTTGGAATATATGCCATATGATATGAGCGATAATAGTAATACTTTAAATCTATTGATAGAGAGGCGGTCGATCTTCATACTATTTTTATATTTTATGATCAAGTGTACATTCATCAATACGTAGCCAACTTTCTCCTATGTGAATCCATTTTTCTGCTATAATGCAATCTACATGCAGTGAACGAAAGCTCGTGTTTGGGTATGAAAGGAATCGGCATTTGCCGATTAAAATTTTATTTCTCTTTGTTTTACATATTTACTAATTGTGCGAGTCTTCACGCTAATGATCATGTGGAAAAATTTTAGAAATGTTTTCGTTTAATTTATGCTTTGTTTTTTGTTTTATGCCCACTACCGGATATGTAGTAATTATAATATCAGTTATATCAGTTCAGTTCAATGGCAGTATATATACTAATAAGATGCGCAAAAAAATTCACATTTGATTTATGCCATGAAGTGTGTAACATTTATTGCTCATATTGAACTTATTTAATTACATCTTTTTGTTCGTCTTAGGACCGTACATTTTATGTCCGCAACTCAAAATCACGAATGCGGTAAAGATTACTTTGGTCGTAGCCTTAGTGTGTACTCAGTAGGTGAAAGCAATAACATTTATCGATTGGGCACACACACACACACACACACGCACAAGGTTACGATCACTACCTCCTGTCTTGTTCTTTGTACTCATTTTTCTCTGACAGCCACCCTGTTACAGGAATAAGGGACATCCCCTGAGTGATTGGTCGTATTACAAAAAAATACAAGTGTAAAAAGAGTAGAAAATCAAAATTGAAACATAACCCTAAAAAATTATTACAATTTATTTAAGTCACCTTAAAACAAGTAAAAGCATTGTAGTGCGCCACGGCTCACCATTAAATACCTTATACTAGTTTGCAAGTATTCATGCAACTACTTTTCTCCTATGGGTTGCGGTCCAGGAAGTGATGTCTTCCGAACTATTTTTAACAGAGTCCGTCCTTGGGCTAAAGCACGTCGATGTATTTCATCAAAATATTCGAACGGACGGACGGACGGACGAGATTATCTCAATTCAGAAAGTGATTCTGTATCGATCGGTATAATAAAAGGTGGGTGTATCTCAAGTCGTTCGTCCAAACTACATATGCTTTTGCACCACAGGTTGTGCTGACTATAACAAAAAGATAGTTAATCGATTTTGAAATGTGATACAAACATCTGTTCTTTGCGAAGGGTGTTTACATGCGCTCGTAATTAACAGAAGCAAGATGGTTGCTTTACACTCAGCATTGAAAACTTGAACAACACAGGCAGAAATTACTAAATTAATTTGGTCTTTTGTTGCTCCGACCTATTGATTATGTACCACGACCCATTGGTCTTTGCCGTTGAATGCAAACGTATCGCTGTGTGTTATCCGCAAAATAAATGGTGCCTTGGTGATGTATAAATCTTAAAAATATAAATAGTGCCATTGAAAGGCACACATTTGCGTCCTGGGAATCCTTCTGCACTAACATCGAGAAAGTTCTTGAAGAAAGTAGACTCCATAGTATCCTATTTAACTTACGTAGTAGAAAATCAATTAGATACAACTCTCATTTACATATATAAATATTACAAGACGACTTCGATCCTGCACTTTCTGATACATACAACGAATTGTTGAATAATTCTTGAGAGAGTAAGCAATAGAATATATTTGAGATTGTTGTACAAAATATGGCTTTATTCCTATGATGAAAGCTACGAAAAAATCAGTTTAACGATCCTTCAATATTTTAATAACTTTTTCAAAGAACAAATTGTGAAGCCGCTTCACATACACTTCAGTTCTTCCAATGACCTCGTCCTTTAAAGCAAATCTTTTAAGCTGGAGCATCCTCTTGATAGGAGGACAGATTTGAAGATGACGTCAGCCGAGGAAGTAGCTCGAACCTCTGTTCAATGCAATTTTGGCAGCGTTCTGTATCAGTAGAGCGTTGATGTAGTCCAAATTTGGAAAATGACTTACTCAAGCTAAAATTTTTATGCTGTGCTTAGGATGTCCCTTAACTCTTGCTTTTTTTACTTTTCGTCTATCGTAAATAGTTTCCGTGATTTCTTTTTGATAGTTTCTGGTGTAACCACATTTTTTGGACTCTCACTAGATATAACAAGATTGTTGACGTCCGTACCATTGCACCGATAAACTATGGATTTCAATGTCGAAGACCTACCACCAAAGACCATATTTTGTCTTTGTTTTAAAAATTACAAAGGCAGGGTCACTAAGTTCACACTTAGTGATGATCCCTGCAAAAGGCACTTGAGACTTTTTAAAAATATTATGGAGTTTTCTGGTAGCGAGGCGGAGGGGAATTATTGGCCGATGAGTAATAAGAAATGTATGGTATGTTGGGTAAAAAATTAAAAAACTCTTTAAAATAGCTCGAGATTTATCACGCTAGTCCAAGCACGAATACAGAAACAGGACATTTTCTTCTCCATCCTCTTGCTGCTCCAAATATTTATGTAATGAGTACGCAAGGAAAAAAATGTCAATAAAATATAATTACATAACAACTTTTCCTTTTAATGGCGATGACAAACCTGGCGAGTCATCGTTGTTGTTGATTTACTGACTCATGGAAGAAGAAGAAGAAGAAGAAGAGAACTTTTTAATGTAGTTCACTTTTCAGTCCCTATAGACCAGCAAGCCCGCGAATGAAATAACCCACAACACACTGCTTCACTTAACACAATTTAATCAGAATTGTGTGAAAAAATTATCCAATCCTATGATTGGAAAGTGCCTTTGTGTGTGACACCATTATCGCGAGATAAGTTATGGGAAAGTGAGCATAAACGCCCAATACATTTTCAATAGAGTCCATGTTTAGGAGAAAAGAGTTTACTAAATTTTGTGGCTGATACAACGACTGTTACCGTAATGAAGCGTTTTATGGTAAATGCTCACAAAAATCCAATCCGATCGAACAAATTTTCTTTTTACGTTCTTGTTTTGGCTAAAACACATTAGCGCACCAAATTTTATTAAAATATTTGAAAGATTGCGATCTCTGTAAGTCGAAATAGATGGACAGACAAACTTGAAATCAATTTCAGAGTCAATCGATTTCATGTTAGGTGAATCTGTCTTGAAACTTTCTGGATTTTGGATACATTCGAACAAACTTAATATCACAAACTTTCCCGCATCGAATTCATGAATATTGAGTCCAAGTTTGTATTAAATATTCATTCCTTCTATATGAACCGATAAAATTCATTTGGTATAAGAGAATTAAACTGAAGAATATTCTGCAAGTAATTATCTGTAAAGTTGACTACTATTCATGTTAAGTTACTATAACGATCGGGTGAATTTTCTCGTATTACTGGGAAATGAGTTCAGTCCGGGGATTAGTAGACAATTCGTTTCGAGTAGCATATGAATGAAGAAAGAAAATATTTGTAATATTTTCCACAGCTCGGAGAAATCTGGAGGTAGCTTAGATAGAATTAGTGCTTAACAGATCTTCATCTTTTACATGCCTTACGGTTACCGGTCTACACTAGTCCCTTATAAGAGGCATGGACAGAGGTCGTAACGAAAGATAAGTCCAAAAAATACCTCTTGATCTAATATGGATTCTATTTTAACATTTTGATATCATTACACCCTACACCAGTTGTTGTACTTGGATTAATTAAGTTAGTGTGGATGTATGTGACACATAGAACCACTTGAAATAGACTCGCCTTTTATTATGCCGATTCATTCAGAAAGGGATTTCAAGCTTGTCTGTCCGTCCAGTTTTCTCGTGCAATTTTTGAAATATTTCGACGAAATTTGGTATATTGATATGTTTTGACGCATGAACGAGCGCTATTCGAAATGGTTCAGATCCGAGTGTTCTTTCTTCGATCGCTTCCAATGCAACACTTCATTTCGAAAAGTTTTTATATGAGTAACTGTATTAAGCAAAATGGCGCAGCGTATTTATTGGTCGGCCTTGAAGCTTTTACTTGTTTTTACACTAGTAGTACTAGCAACGCACTATATATCTTGCAAGGAATTTACTTTTCCCCTTTCATATATATTTTTTACTTTTAAATTATAATCTTATAGCTGACAAAAAAAAAAAAAAAAAAGAAAAGGTGAACAGACTATTCGTATATATACATTTTGAAAGGGATATCGATTTTTGAGATTCAGTAAAATTTCAATTCGATAATACCGGGACTTAAGAGAGAGAGAGAGAGAAGGCAGTTCAAATTCCATTCGAGAATTTCTTAAATGCGAAATCCGATAGAAGTTTTCTAACCGAAGTTTAGAAATTGGAAGATATCTAGGATTAAATCAGAGAGCTAAACGTAGTTTAAGTATAATAAAAAACAAAGAATTACTAAAGAAATATGTTTTTGTTTGTAGGAAAATCCTTTGAATCAAAAATTCCTTACATTTCCCAGCCAATATATGATCTTAAACAGAGCGGTGATGTAAAATTTGGACCGGGCACACGATCAGCATTATTGGGATTGCTTGGCGGCGCTTTACCGAAACTCACTTCGGAGCAGCATGAATTAGTTAGTAAAGCGAAAAAATATGCTATGGAACAGAGCATTAAAATGGTTTTAATGAAACAAACGCTTGCTCATCAACAACAGGTAATTTTTTAAATCATATGACTATGATTATGTTCGACCTTTATTTTGAATCTCGAAATAATTGGATGGGTATATTTGTCGTGAGAAGAGTAATCAGAATCATTTTTGACGCTGACCGATAGTTACTGGCATCAATTAAAGGCGAAAGTCTTGATATTAGTAAGGAATTGTGATGATATGGTGATCAAGTTTTACACCTGCAACGCATTACGGCACTTCATCCGTTATATTCGCGTGTAACGTTACTTTTTCTTATTGCTTTTATAAGTATTTTGCGAGAATAAACGACAGGATATCTTGCTTGCTTAGGATTGACTACCAGGAGGCATACGTATTAACTTTGCCAACTAATTTAGTCGACGGTTATTTTGTAGGAGAGTAAAAACCGATTCCGGTTGTGCATGTTAAACGTCTGACCGCCCTATGCACTCTGACTACCGACCGAAATTCACTGCAATTGTTTTTTTGTTTTTTTTTTTTTTTTTTTTGATCAGCTTTTGACGGGATGGATGTCCCCCATACGTATAAGCTCGGTGGTGGTCGCGAATGGTCATAGGTACAGAGAGAAGTATGAAAAAATCCAAGCCACTTGGTTTTGATGAAGTGAACTTTCAAGGCATGTACTCAAGTTAACCCTTTTGCGACGGCATAAGTGAACCACTGTTCGTCGCTAATGTATACTTGTCGCCAGCTAACCAAGCGATTGTCGTATACGGTCGGTACACGTCATATTTCAATCGTTTGAAAATTTTCGAAAATGGATTTTTTCTAAAAGTGTATTCTAGGCCGAAATGAATGTTCGCTTCGATGGCGATTTTCTCTTAGTAATGTCTTTAACTCATTTGCAAATATATTTTCTTTGCAGCAATTGGCTTCACAACGTACACAAGTACAAAGACAGCAGGCTTTGGCATTAATGTGCAGGTATGTAAATGAAAATCTCTTAGAGTAAGTTTGTAAAAGGAGTATATATTATGGTCATTATGGTAATTACTTTAGTTTCGTACAAAATCTAAAAAAATGATAAAGGAATTTTTTCAGACGACGTCTTCATGCAAATTTTTCTCTAATTACAGCGAAGTGAAATTCGTTTCCATTGATAACTATTTTGATTGTTGTTATAAAAAATAAAAAAGTTTCCGTTCACAAGAGATTTCAATTGTACTAATGATTTACAGACTATCAACAAAAAACAACGTCGGAAAGAATTACAAGGCTTTCTCATTAGTTAAATATTAAGGGGCGGTTTTAAGTAGAAAGATGAAAGAATCCGTCATACATACATTTATAGCGACCACAGCAAACACCAAAAGCATCAGGAAAGTTTAAAGTTAACCGTAGAGATTCAACTATTGGAACAGATTTTCAATATGTTTTGTTTAATATGCGTTGTCTTCAACTCGAAAATTACAATTTTCAAAGCGTCTATGCCGTATGTTAACGCTTTTTCGATCGGACACACGGACAGATATCGTCTTTGGCGCTGGCTCTATTTTGATATAGAGTGTAGCGCGGAATAGTTACTTGTCTAATTGCTTATGGAGCAAAGTGCACTAGTTGCACCTCGGTTGTAGATAAGAAGCGACTGGGCTAGATTGATAAACGACTGTCGGTGTGGCAGCGTTAGAGTTAAAAAAATTATGAATAGACTATCGATTGGTAAAGTGTTAATACCTTGTTGCACTGATAAACGGCTCACCATAACCTCACTCTTTTCAGTATTGGATACGAGCTCCAGCCAGAGTATTCTTTCAAATAAATAAGTAAAGTATTTTTTAAATAAGTCAGTTTAGGCCGAATAAAAATTACATAATCGCGGTTTCTTAAACAAGATGAATTCTACTCCTCAATAGGGTTTTAACTCTTGGATATAGATCTCTTATGAACACTACTGAGTATATGATGACAAATTATTGTACTTAGTGATAATTGTCGGTTTTATGCGACAAAACGTAATATTCGAGTTAATGAATTTACGTTTCATGAGCTTTGATTTATTGCTGATAAGATCTGATGTTCAGTAAAAAAAAAAAAAGAAAAAGTTTTTATTTTAATGTAAATAAATGCCCGGATGAAAACTTGACTATCATCAAAAATATTCTTTTAAATAATTGCAGGGTTTATGTGGGCAGCATTTCATTTGAATTGAAAGAGGACACAATTAGAGCGGCATTTCTTCCTTTTGGACCAATTAAATCAATTAATATGTCGTGGGATCCTATAACACAAAAACATAAAGGATTTGCTTTTGTCGAATATGAGATTCCCGAAGGCGCTCAATTAGCATTAGAGCAAATGAATGGAGCATTGATGGGCGGTCGTAATATTAAGGTCGGCCGTCCAAGTAATATGCCACAAGCTCAGCAAGTTATTGATGAGATCCAAGAAGAAGCGAAAAGTTTTAATCGTATCTACGTTGCGTCAATACATCCGGACCTATCGGAGGAAGATATCAAGAGTGTTTTCGAAGCGTTTGGGCCAATTTTGTATTGCAAATTAGCGCCAGGCACTTCTCTTCACACTCACAAGGGTTACGGTTTCATTGAATACGCTAATAAACAAGCTATGGATGAAGCTATTGCAAGCATGAATCTTTTCGATTTGGGCGGACAATTGTTGAGGTAATTGAGGCCGCATCTACCGCCTTTGAATAAATAATTGTTCCCGTTTTCGAATTAATTTATATTAAATTTTCAGAGTTGGTCGCTCGATAACTCCACCAAATGCACTCGTTTGCCCAACCACAAATTCAACAATGCCAACTGCTGCTGCTGTGGCGGCGGCTGCCGCTACCGCAAAAATACAGGCCTTAGATGCTGTGGCTAGTAATGCAGTTTTGGGTTTATCAGCGACAACTCCAACTTTAGGTATTTCTCCACTAGCAGCCGCAAAAGTGGCGGCATTGCCATTGGCCGCCGCCGCCAATGCTTTACATCCGAGCATTACGTTACCAACGGCAGCTGGAGCCGCATTCCTTCAGGCTGGCATGTTTCAAACTCCGGGGCTCGCGTCTAATCTACTGGCCGCTTCGACGCTTCAAACAGTTAATACAACTGCAGCATTATCAGCGTCAAAAGCAATACTTGGAACTGCTGTTAATACCGCAGCAGCGATTCCATTGCTGGGTAAAATTAACACGGGCACTACAGACGTCCTAACCAATGTTACGATAGCCGGACGAGCGGCCGCGATCGCAGTACCTAATAATAATAATGTGACAACTACACCGTCAGCGGCAACTACAGTGGCAGTAGCACAGGCCGAACAAATTAAGAAAGCTCACGAAAAGCAACAGGAGGAATTGCAAAAGAAATTATTGGAAGAAGGTGAAACGCAGACATTACAGCAACAAGAAAATATGTCAATTAAGGGACAAAGCGCCAGACAATTTGTTATGCAACGTTTGATGAGGCCACAGGAATCGCGCGTTATAATCTTGCGTAATATGGTTGGACCTGAAGATGTTGATGAGACACTGCAAGAAGAAATTCAAGAAGAGTGCACCAAGTTCGGTACCGTTAGCCGAGTAATAATATTTAATGAGAAACAAACTGAAAACGAAGATGACGATGAAGCCGAAATTATTGTTAAAATCTTTGTAGAATTTTCTTCATCTGCCGAAGCTGTTCGCGGCAAAGAAGCGCTAAACGGTCGCTTCTTTGGCGGTCGGCGAGTACACGCTGAATTATATGATCAATCACTGTTCGATCATGGTGATTTATCTGGTTAAAAATATATATATATATACACATATATATATCTATATATATATATATATGTATATGTATATATATACATGAATTGCAAATATCGTACATGTATGTGTAAATCATTCAGTAATATCCTTAATAATTAATTATGGTTATGATTAAATAAAGTAAACCCGTCATTATTTACAGACTATTGTGGACACGAGACGCTTTGATTTATTATTGTACGTTTGAATTTTTTTTTTTTTTTTTGGAATAGAACTTAAGATTTCATTTTGCATGAACTTTATTACGTAACTTATTTCGAATTAAGTGTTTTTTCACTTTCACTTTCACTTTCAAATTCAAATTAATTTTAAATATTTAATAAAAATTCTATTTAAATTTAAACCTTAAAGGGTTTGTTGCATTTACGACCTATTTAGATGAGTGTCAGTTTCAGGAGCGTACCGCCATTTACACCATTTTTGCCAAAGCTGAGCAAATTATTATACATATTTCAAAGACGTTGTTGTTGTCGTTGTCGTTTTTGTTTTAATAACAATTTCATTTTTTTGTTAAGATGTACGATAAACGTTACTTAATTTTCTTAACAAACTCTAAATTAGGTTAAATAGGGTTCGCATTACTGGTCGGTTAACTAATTCAACACTGTTTATAACTGCTTATGCTACTCAACAGATCCTTCAATTGGTTTCACAACTATTCGTCTATCGCTACTAGAAAATCCCCTCTCCTCGAATCCCTCCCAGAAATGTTGTGAGAAAAGGAAACATAAAATATTTTATATTATTTGTAATAAATTTAATAAGGAAAACGTAATTTTCTAAAACTGAGTCTGAGAAGGAAAGTTTGAAAAGTTGGGGTAGCAAGTTTGTTGTTGCTTTTGTTAATCTCTTCTTGGTTTGCTTTAATGGGAGAGTGACGACAAACATATACGTAAAATACGTAAAGCACTTAAAGCATTTGGCAGCATTAAGGAACAATAACAATTCGTAGCTTGGTGCCGTAAATTTCACTAGTGTGACTTAGAAGTAAAGGACTAGTGTTTAGAAAATCCTTTCATTTTTAGAATAAATGAAATAGTATGGAGCGTTGGAGCTTATTGGAATAAATTTTACAAGGCTTGCTTTCCGAAACACTGTAACCATTCATTTCGAAATGCTTACGGTCATGAAATTTTTATTGTATTGGAACAAATAAGTAAAATTACTATAGTGGATTACGGTCATACACCATCTTACACCTACATATCATTTCAAGGTAATGCTTTATAGGCGAAGTGGCCAAAAAAGCAGTGCTATCCAAACTATTTCCTGCTGGTCTATTGACTTAGATGTCCGATATATCAAAGTAGTTCGCTTTCCTAAGGTAAGGTAAAGAGTTAAATGATTTAAGTAACGTTAGATCAATTTCGCTAACATCTGTATTCATAAAGATTATCAAACCTATCGTTAAGGAGAGACTAAACCCGCGAACATGTGTGCCAATGAACTGTGCTTTTTTATAACGAATCCGAAAAAAGTTGATAAAAAGGATGTCATGCTTTTCCTATGCCTATGAAGCAAAGCCTAAGATTATGTTAACTTGGTGAAGAGTTTTTCTAAACTTTTCTAACTTCTTTTGAATGCGTCTGTAGATCTTCAACTTTTTTCTACGTCTGTTGAAATAAATAATGAGTTGCATTGAAAAATCTCCACGGTTGCTTTCACGATTTCGAGATTCGCCTGATATAGAGTACATTTCCTATTTCAAATATATAGGAAACAATGCACACAGGCATTGGATTCATAGGGAAACCTCTGTCAAGCTACATACTATCTAGTTTTCGTAAAACATCTTTACAAGATACATGGCACCAAGATCTTGTATCTGGCCGAAGTGGACTGACAGAAAAGCAAGGAATGCATTTAAGAACCTGAGCCCGCAATCTTTTTTTTTATTTATTATATTTCTCCTTCAGTACGAAGTCAATCGGTTCCTCCAAATACATATGTTCTCCTAAGTTGATCTGAATCTGCACAGATCAGTTTAATTATTAATTAAAAATAGGTTCAGTCTACAATTTAGTGATGAAATTAATATTAATAAAGATAGACGAAAAAAAGTAGAACTAAAGTGAATATGGAAACGGCTTTTTGGCCTTCTGGCTCACTTCATTTTACGTTGTTATAAATATCTATTTATTTCTGTTACCCAACTTTTTTCGCTGTATTTTTCACTTGTCTCTATGGAATAAGGTTGTATTTATTATATCTTACGCACGTGGCACCTTTAAATTTGTGCGGATGTATGCAACGTCCAAATGGACTTGGGATAGACCACATCTTTTATTACACCAATCGACTCGGAATCATTTTTTTAATCGATCTAAGTGTATCTGTCTGCCCTTGTAAATTTGCGTTCAAACTACAGATCGCAATTTTTGCGATATTTGGATGAGATTGGTACACTGACGTGTCTTGGCCCAACGATGAGCACCACTGAAAATGGTTCGGATCGGTCCATTTTTACGACTACTCCCGCTTTATTTTGAAAAATCGTAATATGGAAAAAAATGCAATTTTAAAATTTTTTCGATGAAGCTCTCCGTCAGTCTAAATTAGTATGAAAAATTTAGTTCGTGTGGAGCAATTTTTTGAACCTCTCCTCATTTAATCGTTCTTTTTCAATTTTCTTCATTGCGAAAATTGTTTCACATTAGTAAATTGACAGAGAAGCCAACCTAATCTAATTTGGATTAAGTAGGCCTCTTTTTTGGATACCAACGTATATAAGGATTCTCAGAAAATGTACACCCTTACATGACAAAGAGGTTTAATTGTTATTATTTTATGATGAAAATTTTTTCATGGTAGTAACTTGGCACAAAAATTAAGTGGACCAAATTTGAACCACATGGGTGTATTTCTTGAACATCACTTCATATAAGATTTCCCATTGATAGTATGCTTTTAAAAAAGAAGAATTTAAATTTTAACATTTTCTGATGAAAATTGCTCCATAGTACTAATTTAGCAAAAAAATGAACAATAGGAAATTTTAATCGCATAGGGCGGGTTATCTTACATGCAGAAAAAGTAAAATTTCTACGTTTCTATGACGGAAATTGAATAATAATAACATTTCTGGGAAGTAAATTAAAGATTTGTTAAATCGGGATCAGATCATATGACGTTTTGCATCATTCAATATGCGATCTTTCAAGAAAAGTATATCTTGGGGTGAATAATTGTCTTAGACGAAATCGCGTAGAGTATCTATAACGGTCGTCCTTGACTGACTCTAATGCTCTAATACTTGTTGAAGACTGGAGTTATGGTGTTTCTGCCATTCGGTACACATTTATTTTGCAACATTAAAAGATGGACTCAGTTTGAAAAAACTTACCTTTCGATAGAGCGGCTCCAAGGAATACGTGGCGTGTTACCCATTAAAAATAATTGGTTTTTTCAATTGTCATCATACTTATGCTATCATAGTAATGCCTTTACACCTTTAATGAAACAAACACATAAGAGAAGTTTTTTTTTTGTTTTTATTAAAAATAATAATTTATAACTCTTTAAAAGTAAATTTGTAACTTTTTTTTGTTTTTTTTTTTTTTAATATGAGGAAATCACGTTAACAATGAAAAAACGCCTGAAATTAAAAGGCATGTGAATTACAATATTAGGAGAAATTTCGTACCTATTCATTTTTTTTGTTTTTTTTTTGATAACATTTGCTCTAATTTGAATAAATAGGACCGAAGGCTTTCTTCACAAAATCCATATAAAATTGAAACACATTTCTATTGACTTTTATCACGAACGTTAACCGAAACATGAATTTTAAACGATCGTTCGGTGATCGTTCGTTATGTAAGAAAAATGAATCGTTTTCAGTTGCTCGACGCTTTTTTGATGGGAGGAAAAACCTTAAGTAAGGGAAACAATGAACAATTCATTCAAAGAATTCGAATAATCGTAACTTTAATCATAAGGGATAACCG